ACTATAATGTGTAAGAACCATTAAGAGGTGCACAAATTACTCCATATCCCTCAACATTAACCATGTGTAAAGGAAAGCCAAGTGTTTGCAAAATACCAGAATGATACCTGGCAATTGCATTATAAATCAAAACTGCAAATAAGCAGAAGGATAGTCGGCTACTTAGGACTCTGGTTATAGCTCAGGAGACAGGTTATCCTTTCTAAAAATTTATCTTCAGAATAAGAGACTGGTGAAAAGCCAGCCACAAAAGTCTTTAAGTCAGCATTTAATTCGTTCCTCTCACCTCAAAACACCTCTAGTTAAACCATTCCCCAACATGAATCTTGAGCAAATCCGTCTGAATCCTTCACTCTACAATGAGGATAATACATTCCTGCATTCTCAAGAGGCAAAATTCTGTACAAATACTCTGAGGACCTCTCTGTGGTGAATGCTCCATTAATGCACACTTGAATGTTAACCAAACAGAGATGGACAGAAAGAAAAATCTGATGCAATGTAGTTTCTGGTTCAAACTCAGAATCATATAAAGAATAAGGCTGGAAGGGATCTCTGAAGGTCTCTGGCCCAACCCCTCTGCTGTAAGCATCGTTAATTCAGAAGCTACATTAGGTTGCTGAGGACTTTATCTAGGTTAGTTCTGAAAAAAATCTTTCTAGCCCCCTATTCCAGGGCTTAACTGCTCTTACTGGGAAAAATTTTCTCCTCATGTCTACTCATAGTTGCTGGCACCCAGTCATTTACACTCTGAAAAATTATTTTCTCCCTGTACTTCACAATAATGAACAGAAGTGGCAATGTTTGTTTCTGATTATTCCCACAAAAGAAAAAATAAATCTAAATAATGCAATATGTTTAAAAGAGAAACCAAGAGGTACTTTGCTACAAGGAGTATATTTAAACTTGCAGTGTTACAGCCAGCGGATAACCAAATCAAACTAACAAATCCAGTTGATTTTAAAATACTTAGTTATAGCCACAACTTGGAGTTCATGCTTCTGTTAACCACAGACTTTCAGATTTGTATTCCTTTGCAGACTGATCACAAATTAAAACTGCACAGTTTGGGATCAACTGTTTTCATCCTTTATTTAGTGTGGGTGTGTTGTGGGGACTCTATTCTTACCAAATTCCTTGAATCCTAACCAAAATCGGACACTGGAAAGCCAAAGATCAGTAAGGAAGTGCTGTTTGTAACAAGTTTGTAACATGTTTGTAGCCATGTGTAAGATTTTTTTTTTTTTTTTTTTTTTTTTTAATTTTTTTTTTTTTTTTAAGAGTAGGGCAAACATAGAATGGAATCTGTGAAACTAAAGCCATGAGGAAACAATGACAATTTGTAAGACCTAAAACATATATTACTTTCTTCGAATGACAGGAGACATTTTGTATAAATTCAGTGAAAATAATTGCAAGTGAACTTGTCATTATTTTTCACTTTCTTTGCTATTCTCTTTGTCCCATCTCCACTCAATATGTATTTTTTACTCAATACAATTCATTTTGCCACAGCAAAATGCCAACAGCACCACATCACCCTGGTTACAGTGACACAGCTCAAAGGGCAGAGATTAAAAAAACTTTAACAATAAATGCAAAGACTGGGACAAATTAACACAAATAAACTGTGCAATATGACCTTTAAACCCCTATATAACAACGTTACCTTCCTTCTCACTTAAAACAATTCAGATATCTACAGTTTTCCCTTTTTTAACAGCAGCTTAATACAGTACTGACAACGGTGTTAAAAATTACCTTACCATAGCACCATGAAGTTTAAACAATCTAAAATAACGAATTATGAATACTAAATATATTCATTCTTTTACATTCTCCAACCCTCTCCCTCCAACTTACAGCTGTTTTTCTGCATCTCCTTGATTTCTTGAAGACAACAGTAAAACAGATGACATTCAAAGTTCATACAAAACACCAGCCATGTACTTTCTGCAGAGAGATAACACAGACTAATTAGTTACCTGGTGTCTGCCCTACTCCTACAGGAGGTTAAATTATCCTGACCTTTACACCCTTTGCCTGGCTGTTATTTGCCCCAGCTGAGACTCTGACACAGAGCCTCCATCAAGGTTGTACTGATCTGTATCAGTGCAAACCCTAAAACGATGCCCAGCAACAATGCCCTTACCTCATCCTCTGAGCTCCACATCTGACCAGTTTCTTCCTCAGCTGAACCAGAAAGATCCTCAAGCACTCACTAAACTGCTCCAGATTATCCTGCCAGAGTACACCAGCACACAGGAACAGTTCCTGGGGTGAAGGGAGCAGGCAATGTGCTCCCCCTGCTCCTTTTAAGAGAGGGCTGCTGGCCTTGTTGTCTTAATTTGAAACACCTGCAAATAGCAAGCACTGTTAAAATCCTGCATGTCATACAGGGCTGCTTCAGTCAAGAGATATTAAACAAGCAAATATTTTCTAGAGAAATGGCTTTGTGCTCTGAAATACCTATATTTTTACTTTTTAAAAAATCTTATTTTGATGTTATTTTCTACAAACACCTGAAACCAGCATTTTATCCTGTTTAAGTGAGTTGACTGTGTACTGCTCATTTCCTTAATTTAAAATTTTAACCTCAACAAGGACTTGAATTTTTCTGGTAAGTTAAGAGGTCAGTGTAGAAGCATATTTCCTGCTTTGAAACTTTTCTGATTAAATATAAGAGTTTATTTACACTTAAATGCTACAAAACTATACTTAAAATTACTTTAGTAATGATTACGGCAGTCACATTTTCAGAAATGGAAATGAAATCCCGTTTTCTTCCTGCCTTTTAAATGCCCCTGGGCACAGCATGTCTCTATCAGGATAAATCGTCCTCCAGGAAGGGAGGATTGGCATCGGTAAAGATTCCTCAAGTCACTGCTGGTGAAAGTCACAGAGGATGAAATTATAATCCATCCTGAAGCCATGACAGAATTTAATTAAAACTACAATTTGCCAGCGTTTCCTTAGCTGTAGCAAGAGTTTAACAAGCAGTCTCCCCAGGATACATAGATGTACACATATTTATTATCCATAATGGTACCTGTGATCTTTTCCTGCACCTCGCAATGTAAAGCCAGGAAAGAAGAGCGGCTCCAGTCTAGAAACTGGAATTACATCCAAGCTGCTGATTTGCAGCACGTGTTTTCAGTCCAGCACATATGAGAAACCGAGGGGAAGGTGCATCTCTCTTTGCTGGCTCAGGTAGAGCTGAACAGTCTCTCCCTGTTTCCATTTTCTGACGTGGCAGAGCTCTTCCACACCATTGCAAGGGTTCTGAACTATGCCGCCTGGGGAAAAGGGAATCTCCACCCCACGAAAAATGTGACATCGTTGGAAACAATTGTATCAACTGGGAAAGTCAAAATAACACCCTGTTCCCCCCCTGCCCGCCCCAGGACTCGGGTGCTCTCCTGTTGAGGCTTGCTGACCCCCTTGTCTTTGGTCACCTGCACACCCCTCCTACCTTGCTGCACTGGGGATACTTCCTCACCTGCCTCTCAGGGCACTTCCAGCATCTATCCGAAGAGAAAAAGCCTCAGAATCTGCCCTTGCTGCAATTTCAGCTCCACAAGTTCCCCAGTGCCAACAACTGCTCTTCTTGTCTTCACAGCAACAAAAGGAATTTTATCTTTTTCACCATGAAGGTTTTCCACCAGCAAAGATTTTAGCGTTTTTAATGAAAAGTGCCATTTCTGGAGAAGATTTAGAACAGTAATACAGCAGTAAGAAAGCATCATACAAACCAACACTGAATAGCAAAGAAGTTTTTCTGTATTTAAGCTTTTAAAAAAAAATCCTCTACAGACTGTCTAGTGCAATGTAAAAAAACCCAATGTTATACACATCCATCATAAACCTACACATCTTTCCTCAAACACACAAATTGATTTACTTGCCATTACTCATGATTAATTCTCGGGTTTTAAGAGCAACACACAGGGACCATTTTGCCCGTGAACACACCTGAATTTGGCACCCACTGATTTTACCCAGTGCCTGCTGTCTCTGGAGATAAACACCTGCCCCTCTCCTGAGTGAGAATATGGTATTTAACATGTTATTGTTGGAAGCTGGATGTACACGGAAGTGTTAGCAAACTCATTTCTCTGTATAAAGTTAGGGATGTGCTTTTATAGAAAAGACATCTCCAAAGTTGCGTGGCTAATTTAAACATCAACAAGTCACACATATTTCAGTTACAACATCTGTGACCCAAAATTGAGATGCATGAAATACCTACATGAGGGAGTGCTGGAAAATTACTTTTCTCAAATCAAATAATACTCTTGTGAGTTCCTCAGTGAGTCCTTCAGACAGATCTCTGAAGAGTAAATACAGCTGATAGGTGAATCTATTTAATAAAATATAAACATTCTACCATAAATTAATGTTAAGATTGCCTATGCAGTGAATTATTAGTCATGCCAAAACTATGCACTCTGGTGAATTTTAGCACTATTTTCTCTAATAATCAGCACATACTGTTTTTCCTACAAAGTTAGCACTTAATATTGGCCTAAAATAAAATATATGCAGAAGCATACAGGTTTTTACATGCATAAAAAGGAGCAAAAGGTAAAACTGATATTCACTCTTAAATTCTACATTTCTTCAGCCAAGTGCCTATTTGTGCAGTTTTGCATTCATTTTTACAGAAACAACAGACCTAAACTTTGCAATAACGAAGGTATTGATGTATCAAGATGACTAGAAATCATCCTTAATATCCTCCAGAACTGGAATTCTATTATGCTAAAAAATAAACCTTTGGCAACACCAAATCCTTTCGTATACCGAGGTTGCTGTCATTATTGTTCATTTTAAAAAGATTACAATTAAAATCCAGCACACTGTTTTCACACTTCAGTGGAATTCTTCAATTTTATTTTTTGTTTTTCTCCAAACAATTCTTTACCAAATGCATTAAGTATTTAAATTACAAGCAGATTTCTTATTTTTCAGTATGGCAAACTGGGGGGGGGGAATCAGTTGAACCAAGAAAAACAAACAAACACACGGCGATCTCCCCTCTCAAAAAGTCTTTTGGCAGCTGCAGAGAACCTGCAGCGCACATTTCTGTGCCTCAGCCCTCCCTCTGGGCAGCTCTCCAGGGTCTCCTTGGCACTCTCAAAAGCTCTGGAATGACATTTGCAGTGTAAACAAATGTCAACACTTAGATTATTGTAAATTATTTACAGTAAACTCATATAAGACTATAGGGCACTTTAAGGCCTTGTTAAGATTGCAATAATTATTCCCAGAAACTGAATTATGGGAGCACCTAGTCCTTAGAGGCAAAACCAGGAAACAAAACCATGACCTGAAACGTGGAAGACAACTTGCTTCTACTTTACTAAGGAATTCCCCGTTGAGCAGAGAGCACACCTGGAATGATTTTCCCCCAAGAAAAAAGTTCAAGTACTCTGTAGATCATGTAGCAAAAAGATGATGTTTAATGATGAAAAACATTAAATGTGCTTGTTACTATGTCCGACAGGAAGATGAATACTATAGATATGTTACCTAGGGATGATCACCGAACAAAGTAAAAATCTCCTTAAAACATCCGCAGCATCTTGGCCTGTTGCATGGCACAGCAATGGTCACTGGAACCCAGAGCTTGGAAAACCTTCACTTAGACAGCAAGAACTATTTTGTGTTGGCAAGGAAAAAGTGTTTCCATCCAATTTTTGTAACTATGCAATTGCCTGTCAACAAATCACAGACTGACTTTTAGACGTATTTATATACTCTAAAAACATTGCGTGGGCAATTTTAGAATGTAAACAAAACTCAAAACATTTCAAAATCCGTTTTTCAACTGCTAGTCTAAATACATCTAGTGACATAAAATAGCACATTATTAAGTCAACATTTATGTAAAAAAAATCCCAATTTATAGTTACTTGAATTTTTCAGAGAACAGTTTTGAATCTCTTTCTAAGAGTAAGTTTTAATGATCCATCCTTTCTAAAAAATATTTCAACAGTTAATCGTAATTTTAACCATCTCAATTAAGATGAGAAAAAGCCACTAGAAAAAGATCAGAACAATCTATCTTATTTGGAATCAAATCAGTATTATTCATAAATGAATAAAGTAGTTTAGAAGAAAAAAAAAAGTGAAATGCAATTCTTCAGCCTTGCTAGGTCAGACCCTTAGCGGTGCTGCAATACCTTAGGCTGTCAGGTAAAGTTTATGAAAATGGTGGGGAGTTGGAAGAAACACAACTGGGCAAACAGGAGCAGCTGAAATTTGTTAGGATTTTGTGTCACATAAAGCCGTACTGAGAAATCACGTAGCATCAGTACCTGCTGGTCCCTACCATCAGGGCGTCTGCATTAATGATGTTACCAACACAGACACTAAGTCTGACCTATCAAAGACTGTGTTTAGGTCAGTCTATACCAGCTCGATCTGTCGGAGCCCTGGAAAGCACTGTTTGGCATTAGATGGGTCAGAAGTTCACAGAAGCAGCTTATTTATGCTGGTCTGCATCCCAAGGTTTACACAGGAAAACAAGGAAGGTTTTAGTACATCTAACTGTAATCTAATCTCTATTATTTGTCATCTAAAAGATAAGGAGTCATATAATCAAACTATGCAAATAAACCTCATTAAACCCCCCAATACTGTAATGAAAAACAGAATCTTGGCCCAAACTTTTCAAACAACGGGGGTGGCAAAGCTGCCTAACAATGGTGTCCAGAGGCCTGCGAAGATTCATCAAGGACAATATTATTTCTGGAAGAAACTTTTGCAATTCAAGAGAGAACACAGTAGACTTCTCTCCTTATTTACACCAGTTGCCCACTTACAATTTTTATGATAACGTAGATGCTTGACCTTAACTGCAATTTCATTGCAAGAAAATAATCCCTTTGAGGCCGGAGGGGGTGAAGGAATTCTGATTTAGGTGTTCCAACAGTTGAGTATTTTTAGACAGAAATTCTCCATCATTTTACACAGGTTTAAAATCTGAGTGTGAGACAACATTTTACAGAAAATATAAGTATTAACTTGTATGATTTCCAATAAAAATGATAGCTCTGATCAAAACAGAAAAAAAAATAATCTTTCATATATGTTCTCTATGAAAACCATAACTAAAGATAAGCTTAAATACACCTGTTGATCAAGACAAGAAACTCCGTGTTATTTATGCACAATGAAAAACAGTTTAAAAACAGTTTCCACTGAGGTACCTGTTGGCTCACTGTCCATCGAAAGTTCCTTTTTACCTCACCTGGGAAAGTGATTGTCTACAGACACGTTTCTCTGTTCAGAAAATAGAAAGCATATGTGCATTTTCATCATAAAATAATGAATGATAATAACTTGAGTTCACTCCACTGCCTGGTCAGTGGGTTGTGTGCATTTTTTTTTTTTTTTTTAAATACTGCAGGCCATATGAAGTATCTTCACTAAAATATCCAAGGGCTTCATGATGTACACTTGTCTTTCCACTTTCCCTTACATTTTCTGTAATTAAGAAGTATCAGTGATTTCTCCCTGCACATAATGCAACAGTCTTCTTCGAGGTCCTTGTGGCCCCAGGATCGAGCAGATGTAACGGGAGGGCGCTGGCATCATGACAACACCATCATCACGACCAACACAAGCACTGCAACGTTGACTGTCCTCCTGCTGCCAGCCGATGTTCTCCGGGCGTGCAATACAGCAAATACTGCATTGGTGTGATTGGTTGGTATTTCTACGTTGCAAATCATGCCTTCGCAGCAAGAAACGCATTCCTGTTGAGAAAAAGGAGATCACGGGATGTCGGGCAATTCAGGCGTGGCTTTTAGAGATGTATGTTCTTTCAGCTGGTTGCAAAGGTAACAACTAAATGGACCCAAGGCAGCAGTTGGAGTATGTAAGCTACAACTTCTCTTCCAAACCATGCAGCACAGCCTTACTAGAGTAACTCATGCCCCAGTGCTCTAACTGGGCTTTGAAACCACGACGTGATCTAATGCAGCCATGTTAGCTGTGCTGACAAGCTCATTTTGCAGAAAATAGGGTCAACTTTCCACCACTTCCCCCTTCTGCCACATGAGCTAAAAACATACATTAGAATGTTTCAAGTTTCAGCTTTTTAAGCTAAAAAATTCTGGCTGTAAAAACTCTGCTCCTGTTCATTTTTCCCCTCAAGCTTTTGTATTCAGTGTAGCTTTACAGGCTGAACTTCAGACTTGCTTTTTTCAGTTTTCTAGTGCCACAGAACTGCTGACACAGCTGATTTTCAGGAGGGAATCTGAAAATATTTTTCCTTACTTGACACTCCTTGCTAGAAGACCCAACAGAATGCCAATTTTTATCTAATCTGAAGGCACAAGAACTCTTCTAAGATGCAGCAGAAGGCAAGCTGCATAGTGATTTCATGCCCTCTCTCCACCAAAACCTGCTGAAATCAATGGAAGTTGGTTCAGAAAACATATAGAACATTTTATATTTAATATGAATGTAGCCTGCTTCATTTTTTGTGTCTGAAACCTTTCATGTTAAAAATAACTAACCTTCTCAAGTATTAAGGAATTAGTGGGTTATACTTTACCACCATGAATACTTCGGTGGGATATGCTTGATCATTCAGAATAAACTTTTACCAAGGATCCCAAGGATGAGCCAAGACAGCAGTTGTAGCTTTTTGTCATGGAAAAGCTCAGTTGTACCTTGCTGAAGAGCACGGCCTTTGTGGCCAAAGACAGTCTTGCTCAGTGGACCCCTAAGCTATGATATGCAGACACGACTGGACTACCTCACTCCTGGGCCAGCTTGCCCAAGGGCAGGTTGCATAGCCCACCCAGGCACCTTACTCAGAACTCAGAAGCTAAGGCCCATGCATTGGGCAACGCATTAGCAAAGCCCCAGGATAACTCAGGTGTTTCTTTAGAAGCTGTTCCTACATCCTGTCACACAGCAACACAAATAGGAAAGTAGGAAGAAGTGGGTAGTCACACTTCTGCTGCAGAAATTTGATTTCTATTGTTAAATACCACAGAGCGTAGCTTGGCACATCCTCTTCAGCTCGGCAGGAAAAACAAGTACTGAAATGCAAACCTCAAAACCAGCGTGCAGCTCTTACACAAAGAGTAGTGCTTACTGTGTGGCCACTTTCTCTGTGATGGTGGCAGCCTACAAAATGGCATTCTTCTCTGGTAGCACATTTTTTGGTGACTGATGTGCTCTTCCCATGGTCTGTGAAGAGATGAACTGTCAAACAGTACTGAGTACCTACAAAATAAAATTTAAAATGTGTATTTGCATAATGTAGACGTTCTTTTACAGGGGTTAAAAACTTCACACAATTTAGCAAACTATTCCCATTAAAATGACTTATTTTGGCTGTATAAAGCCATTTTTCTACTTGATCAAAATGCCATTTAGCAAGAAATTAATTACTGATGAAATCTTATGATTAACTGACCCGTCAACCCTCCAGAAAGGCTGCTATCATTTAAACTACTTATTAGCACTATAACCTACACATTTATCTTTCATTCTCTGCTCTTTTTTTGCAGCACATTTCTTTGTTTTGGACATGTTTCCTCATTCCTCTAGTTTATTTCTTCCCCTTTCCCACTGTTACTATGACTATCACTGTGAAGAAAAAATGAGGAAACATACTTTCATTCTTTTTTCTCTCATTCTCTCCTACACGTGTGATCTCTAGTCATTCAGGTCTTGCTGCTCACAAGCAAGTCTATAGCCTAGAGAGATCATTATATCTTGGGATGGTATCCAAAAGGAAGGGGATAAGGCTACAGAGACAATTCTTAAGTGTTTTTAGACAACATTAAAATTAATTCCTAGGAAGCACATAGCTATATATATACACACACCCACAAACACATAAATAATTAACTAATATAGTATTGATATATTGATAATGTATTAATTGCTATATTAATAACATAGTTACATATTATATACAATGTTTTATACATATAGATATAAACAATTTCTCAGTGTTGCTTTGCAGTTTGAAATAGTCAGAATATTCACCCCAGCAGAAATTGTATAACGCATACTACTACTAACATAACCGAGGGCACCGCTGTGTTGGCATGTTAATCCTATTCAGTTAAGACTTCTACAAGATGTCTGAGTCATGGAGAAGCAAATTTAACTATCAGAAAGAATCTCCTTAATACAGACACACTTACTTTCAGGACACCATCTATCTTCAGCCCATCTGTTACAGTTGTAATTGTCCGCTGCATTATCACAAGTAAAGCACTTAAAACTGTTTGGAAATGGAGTGGCTTTAAAAGTATTAAAATATTGTGAGTTTGCAAGCATTAAGAAAGAAAAATATTCAAAATAATACTGTCAGTACACATCTACTTGCAAAATCATATTACATACATTTACATATTTTCAGTGATATATCACTGTTAGACAAATAAAACCCACAAAACAAGTCTTGTAGAAAGCTTTTCCATTTTTAACTTGCTTTGCTATGCCTGAACTTTAAAACATCTCCTCCTGTTTTCATTTTCTCACAATCCAAAATACCATTTAAGTAGCGGTGGGAAAAACAGGAGAGAACACCTTACATATATGCACATGTCACTACATCTGCATGTATGTCTGTACAGATACACAAACACAATCTCCATTTAAATGGCTTTTGATTCCTTTGATGAAAAAACCTACATCTTCAAAACCAGCTTCAGATCTTGATCTCCAACTCTGAAGAAGTAGGTTCCCTCTGACAAAGGGATCAAGAGGACTACTTTAAAATCTTGTTTACATTATATAAAAATATAAATGATTTTAAGGTGCACAGTTCCCTAGATGCACATATATACCTATTATATCTAGCTGTCCTGTTTTAATGATACATATAATGAAAATCTTCTTCCCTTAAATGAAGGGATAGAACACTTCTGATGCTAGACAACAGGCACAAAAAATGATGCTATTAGTGACAACTGGCTTCACAGGTCTCACAAGGTTTTTAATTACCTTCAGTTTGAATTAATTGCATACAGCACACCTATTCTTTCCCTTACAAAAACCCCAACATGATAAAAGACAAAAACATCTGTTCTGTATTAGTTATGAGAAACCCACTGCTTAATTTGCTCTGTAGGAAGACATTTCAGAGACAGAAAAACATAATAAAAGCACTTAAAACTGTGAAAGCCCTTGTGCACTCTTTAATTTAGCAATGCATGCAATTGTTTGTTCTCATTCAGTCATCTTATAAAATCTTAGAGATAAACTGCTGTGGGTCGAAAAGCAGAAGTTTGATTTTAAACTTTTTATCCTTCACGTTTGAAGAAGACAAACACCTAAAACCCAAATGATTGAAAGAATATGGCAATTAACTAAAATGTTAAGCTACCATTGCATACCCAGGAAAAGCATAACTGTATACTTACGGTCTAGTGGAGGTCTCACATTGTAAAAGTTGATGTTCTCAGCTGAAACCCACTTTCCTGAAAGGATGAGGAATGGAAGAAAGGCTCCAGCCAGCATGTGATAGAATAAAAACATGCTGAGTATTATTGTACATGAAAAGCAAAACTCTTAGGCCTAGGACAGAAAGGGAACACATTATTTAGGGGGAATCATAAAGAACTGAGCATGCAGAACAATAAATTTCCTATGAACTACTCCCGAAGCCTTGACAATTCAGTCGGTAGATCTATACTGTGAAGATGGCTAATGCAAGCAAGCATGCAATGATGAACAATGCAAAGCTGAGCAGTTACTGCCTTCTGCTGGCCAGGATCCTGTACAGAGCACTTCAGTTTCCACAGACTTAAAAGTTAACATTATTTCTTGAATCTGTTTGTCTTTCTAAGCAATGCCAATGTTATAAATTCCTTGTAAACATTTCGAAAAATCAACATCAAAACTGAGCTCCTTTACATCCTGCTTAAAAGGGTCAGGATTACATTACTATTAAAGAAAGCAAAATGCAGAAAAATGTCATTTTTATCATCAACAGCCTAGAACCCAAGACCAGTTCCTTGTCCACTATAGATCAATGTATGTCTATCGACTTCAGATAAGCTACACCATCTGAACTGTAAGTGCACTCACCAGTGGCACAACATTAAAGATCAAGAGTGTAAATTAGATTTATTCCTTTTTAAAGTGTATACCAAGGAAACGCTACGGAAGATGCCTGGTGACGGTACACAAGTTTTGTAGAACTGCAAAGCATAATGTTCAGAGAGAGGAGATACATGTGTTGGGCACGCTTTGCACATGTATTTGGGGCTCCCTAGGTACTGCGGTGAGGCTTTACAGAGAAAAAGAACTAATCAATGAACGTTTTGGACAGTTTGGTATTTAGCTGTACAGCCATACATACCCACACAGAGGTATGTATGGCAAATCGCAGTGACACAGGAGACCTAGTTCAGATATTAAAAAGCAGAATCAGCTCAAATGGCACTCCGCCCATGCAAATCCCCAGCAGGAGAAACAAGCCTGAGTGGAGGTTCGCACCAAACCAGAGACGTTGCTCTGGGCTGCCAAGCGCATTCAGTCAGAAATCTCTCTGCACACCCTGTGTAGACGTACACGCCGCCTGCGCGGGAAGCTCTGAACACCTCCAAGCACTGAACTGAAAATGGTACTCAAGACCATGGCAGAGAGGTCAAAGGATTTCCTTCTTTTTCCTGTTGGTTTATTTGTTTTGCTTTGGGGTTTTTTTTGTTGGTTGTTTTTTTTATTTTTTTCAGTTGACACAGGCAGGAATTATTTGAAAGAGTTTTGCCAACAAACCCATCAACACAAAGTTCAACTTTACGCATTGGGAGTTCAGCCATCCTGATTAAGATTTGTTTTTTAAATCATGGGTTTATGAATATATTTCAGCAGACACTGAGAAAGCCACAGCATACCTGCAGTGCACCTCCAAGACTATCTCCTGTGGATGGTCCAGATTTCTCTGACTATAGCCCAGGATCTAAAGAAGGATTAAGAAGAAAAATCTGTGAAAAACAAAGAGCAACTGCTCATCATAATTCTGTCCTGAAGGAACTAATTAGCTGAAACACCGTATGTGCTTCTTTATATTGAAAATTAAAATAGAAACCTAGAAGTGTGGTGGTTTTTATAACAAAATATCCAAAGAAGTACCTGAATTACACTGCGTGGCTCTGCCTCACTGAGTGCTCTTCTACTGCAGAAAAACAAATTCTCTCCTTCCTGTGAGTCATTTGTCTTTTATGACATTGGGGTAAGACAAAAAGTGAAGCAATGAGACTACTCAGTCCTTCCATGAGGATGTGTTTACCTCTCTTCCAAGGGAAGAACATTAATCAGGCAATGACCTGGGCAGGACCAGACTATACCAGATGAATATGTATTTCACACTCTAGACGTATCCAAACTTTCCACACATGCTACAACCAAAATAGAAGCACTAATCAGCAGCAAGGTAACCTAAAAGAGCAAAGACTATCATCAGCCTCCAGATTAGAGGTTATTAGCAAGCTATGAAGTAAACAGGTCACCCACAGTTCATTCCTTACTGAAAGAGAAACACAAAAGTGTTGGTCAAATCCCTAAACCCACTGCAAAATCCCAAATAAATCTTAACCATAGTTACAGTTCTCTCCAATTCAGCACACGGTATGTGCACAGTGACATTCTGCAGCATTAAAGAGGGGCTGTTTATAACCCCCTTGACTTGTCTCTCAAACACATACTCGATGTGCACATTTCAACTGTACCTGCAGTTTTAGCGTTTTGTGTTTTGTTTTCATTTGTGGAGACAAACCTGTGCATCATGACTGGATGCTTTTCTGCTGACAAGTCAACACACACCATGCTCTGTCACTGAGCTGCTGCCTTCAAAGTCTATTTCATGATCCTTTAATATTTTCCAAGGCAGACCAGAGGAATGTGGCATTATCCAGCACAGGAGAAAAGGAAAAGAGGAGACAGTGCGCTACTACGATTCATGAATGATCCAACGTTCTATTCAACTTAATTTCTCCCTCCTCTAGCATTCTTAGCTCTACCAGTTTATGCTGGAGACAACATCTTTCCCTCAAGTTCTTTCTGTTATACACAGTTCATTTTATGTTACTGCCTAAAACCCCTTTCCTTTACAATCCATATCCAAGATTCTTCAAATCGATTTTTGCCACAAATAACTCAGTGTCAAGAGGTGACGGAATTTCTATTTCAGCTAAGAAATTTCTCTTCTTCATGGACAATAATTCCCTGTATTATCCCATCCCACTCTTCTGCTCTAAGGTGATTTGGATCAGGTTTCCATGATGTAACCAAGAGGAGAAAGTGCACCAAGCCCTTTCATTAATACCATAACCATTATTCTGAATGATTTAAGAGTTAAAGTCAATGTAATAACAGATAACATTTTGGAAGCAAAATACATCAGAATAATTTCTATAAAATGACACTTTCCATGAAAATAACCAATCTGAGACAAAATTAACAGCTAAAGATGCACAAAGGCTAACTTAAAGAGATCCTTGTTTCCCACACAGAGGAGAATTCTTACACGGTGATTTAAACCCAAAAATATCCCTAAAGCACAGAATATGAAGCACAGTTATGCACAACTGAATTAGCCAGCTCTTCAGTAACATCCCCTTTTTCTGATGTAGAAGACACATCCCTGCTGTCACTCTGTTTACAGGTTGTCCTTCCCCATAGGTATCTCCTGTCATGCGTCACTGGAGTCCAAACACAGAACTATGATATGTTTGGTCTGACTCAGTATAGCCCCTCAGTTTTACATTCACCCCATTTACCCCACTCGCTGCAGAAAGAGGTTAAATCTACTTTTAACAGCAAGGTGGAATTTTACCCTGCTGAGCCACATTTCCCTACCTCCCCCTGCTCAGCCTTTCCACTCGGAGGCAGAGAGAGGCTTGGGGATGGCACAGCCAGTAATGCTGCACTAAACCACGCCTGTTCAGATGCTCCTCTTACCTCTTATCCAGGATAAACTAGACCCCAAGCCCTGGGAGGGAGTGACACAGCAATCCTTCAGCACACTGCAATCCCTGCATTCCTTGCTAGGACACCAGAAAGTGTCCTTACATGCAGAATTAAGTACCAGCTCAAAATCAGAACCGCTACATAACTAATTTTATGAAAATAATTTGTTTTAAAAAGAAACATCTCAATGCATGGAGCTAAAAAGACAGCAACTCAAGTACAAGTAGGTACCAATTTTCAATTTTCCAATTCCTGATCCTAATTACCTTGCTCTTGTGTCCCTGGACAATCAGGGATCCAGTGTTCACTATTCCAGCGTGGCAGTACCGGGCCCTTAACGCACACAGGCTGCTCGGGTGCGGCTGGTAAGAGTAGGGGAAGAATCCTTCTTGTGCCTCTAGTGCCAACATCCTTCTTCATGGTTCCCTTGTAAAATAGCTCTATTTATGCCCTTTGAGTAGCACAAGGAAGTTACTTTTAAACTGACAAGCCAGTTTTAATCAAAGTTCGGTGTATTTCGGGCAGCTCAATAGCATTTAATTCTTTCAATTTTACTCAGTAGGAAGACAGGGTATTGAATCATTTCAGTGCATAACAGCTGCAAAATTTATCTCCTTAACATGTATCTTCTGCAGTTTCTACTAGATTGAGGAAAATTTGCCTTTATGGGGAGACTGGTCTGTAACTTGATCTGATGCACCTGGATAGCAAATAAAAGGCACAATTACACCTGCCAACTTTCTACAAATTCAAGTTCTCTTCTGCTCCCCTCCCCCAAGTTCCTATTGCTTTCCCCAGAGAAGCTCAGGCCAAATGGAAAATTTTAGAGAATATAAATACAAAAAAGCTGGTCTTCAGTTGGTGTAAAGCGCAATAAATTGACCTCACAATTTGCTGTAGTCAAAGGTGTCCCTGTTTGCTAACCAGGCCAATAAATAATGGATATTGTCTGACATAGTCTTAGTTACACAGCTGCACCAGAAGCCATTCTCAAATAAAACAGGAAAATATTGGCAAAAAAAAAGGCTTTCATATCTTTTCCAAAAATCTTTAGAATGCTTCTTTTCTTCATAGTCTCTTATCTCTGTTATGCTTTCATATAATATTATCTAGTAACATGAGTAAACATTTATTATGCCCAATTAGGAACTCTCATTAATGAAGGGAAAACAACCTGTCACGATACAGAGATTAATTTATATAAACAAGAGCAAACACGGAGCTTTCCTGGGGTGAGGGAAGAAAACCCAAGAGGGAAGGGCTGTTAATGTATGCTCTGGAAAGAGCTTGTGACTAAAGCACATTTCAAGAAAACAATGAGGAATACAATGGTTCAAATAATTAATATATTTCAGAAGGTTTTAATGTTTATCTTGCAGTGTGTAACAGAAGAGTAGGAAGCAGCGTGCTTGATTTCTGATTTTAATAAAATTCAAGTCTGTCTACATTGTTTTTCCTGGCAGACTCTGTGGAGGATTAGCAGATTTAACATCAGATATGGAATGCAAATGAAACTTCCTCCTGTCATTTAGTAAGCAATTTTCAGGTGCTATTAGATAATTGCAAATGCTTATGTTAAGCTTGTTAAATACCACTTCAGGACATAAGAGTTAGAAATACATAGGCAGAAAGGTATGTATGTTAAGGGCTGAAAAGTTAAAACCAGCACCTGACATCATCAGGTGTTCCATTCAACAATTCAGAAAAGCCAAAACTGACACTTCAACTTATCTAAAAGGACAAAACCAGCTCTTTGGCTTCCCCATTTCATAGATAAATGTTACCATTCTTATGTTTTCCTCTGGAGACCCTTTCATTTGATCTGTAAGCCACCATTTACCCCATTTCAAAACTCAGGGGGTGAATAAGTGGATGGAACGAGTAAGAGACAACCTTAATTTTCTTTGGGAAATAAGCAGAACGCATTTAAAACAAAAACAGGGAAAAAGGAAATATTTTGAAGGATTAAAAGACTGACGAATACTACTAGAGATATGCAAATTGAAACTATTTGTTATATAAGTTCTGCCTTTTCTTACCTACTGAGTTGAAGTCTCTATTTTCTGATTTTTTTATTTTTTTTTTACCTTACAGCATGTTATTAGTACAGAAGAACACAGGAAAAAAGATTTTACGTTACACTGACGGACATCTGCAATCAGTAACACTGACAGTATAAAATTTAAGTTACTAACATTCTTTGTAAACACAACACATTTCTTTGTCTCACCATGCCTGGAATTAAATTTGGTCTTAATTACAAGAAATTATAGAGTTCTTTATCTAAGATCTTACAAAAGTAGAACATAGATCTGGTAATGACAACATCATTTAGCTCGGGGTATAATGCTGGCATGGGAAGTTGTGACGCAAAGCGATTGCGAGACATGGAGGTGTCTGACTACATAATACATACAACTGCAATAATTTTGAAAAAAAAATGTATGATTAATGGGATAAATCTGAGCAGCACCACTGAAGTGTTGGCAAGGACAGAACATGTATTTGTTTTTAAGCTCATCCAGAAGAGCAGAACTATGGAATGAAAACTGCATTACACCTCATTCCTTTATAGCCAAAACTGCTCAGCAAAAACTAGTCTTGAGCACTGACATTCATTTTTAAAATTCAGAATCCCCAATCATCTTTGGAAAATAATTTATTCTACCTTAAAATCCATTAATGAGAGATAAATATTTTATTCCCTTCTGCAAGTATATAATTTCCTCAAAGGACTGCACTTAGTCAAAGCTATAGATGACCAGAAGTTTTACACTTTAGCTTGTAACAGCTTCTATATATATAACATATGCAACTGTTTTAAATCTCTCTCCCACCTGTGCATGACTGGAAAACTTAATATTACTCTAGAGAAAAGAGATTATAGGAATAAGCAGCATTTTTTCTTTCCTTGAGCTCATTGGAAAACTTTTGTAAAAAAACAGGTTAACGCTATTAATTTTACAGAATATTTTGTTAAATACTTCAGGGGATCAGACCATTAATGACTAATTAGTCCTCACTTCAAATGGTGGGATAGAATTTAAGTAGACCAACCTCTCTGTGCACAAGCTACTGGCACCCAAGTTTACATGAGCCAAAGGTCCCAGTGAATACCCAACCAGCTGAGCAGAAGACAAAATTCTGATTTTCAGTGTCCTTCCACAAGTTTAGCTCCACACCACAGTCAATATTTAAAAGACTTCTTTATTCCTGTCAAGCTAAAGTTACTCATACTCAGCAAGAACTACAATGTAATGCTGT